TTTATCAGCTTTGTATCAGGTTTTTGCTGTGACGTTACTGTGCCTTTGGAATACCTGTTACGGGTGAGTGTCAGGAGGACAGAGCCAGGCTTTTTTCAGTGACATCCAGTGATAGGATGAGGGACAATGGGTGCAAACTGGAACATAGGAGGTTCCACCTAAACATCAGAAATAACTAAAAAAAATTCTTTACTGTGAGAGTGACAGAGCCCTGGGACAGGCTGCCCAGAGAGGTTGTGGAGTCTCCTTTGCTGGAGACATTCAAAACCCGCCTGGACACATTCCTGTGTGATGTGCTCTGGGTGACCCTGCTCTGGCAGGGGGGTTGGACTAGATGATCTTTTGAGGTCCCTTCCAACCCCTAAGATTCTGATTCTGTGAATGTATTGATCCTGCTGCTCCAGCACCCACCTGGGTAGGAGGGTGGGGAAGTGACATGATGGATGTCCTGGGCTTTGGCCACCATCATGGCCTGCAAATGCTGCTGCAGATGGGGTAGTTCTCAGGCAGATGGGAGGATTTGGGGGGGCTGAAGCAAAGCCCCCTGGGTTTTGGGACTCCCTCCAGCCTCACACAGGGGTGGGATCAGTGTAGCTCGGGGGCAGAGGAGGGGGTGTCACACTGAGAGGGTGTGCAGCAGGTCCCTCCTTTGTTCCTGGCTATGATGAAGGAGCAAGATGTGGCCAGTGAGGGGTTTTCAGATTAATCCTCTCCAGGTGTGCTGTCCCTGTGAGCCATAGGGAGCAGACCCTGCCCAGTTCTTGTTGCCAGCACCCAAAACAGGACAGGGCACACACCTCCTCACACATCAGTCCCAAAATAGATCTCATTAACCATCACAATTAACACGAGCTGGGCCCTCTCTCCTCCTGGTTGCCCCAGCCAGAGCTGTACATAACAATAACTGTTTATTACACAGCAGGCAGAGCCCGGCTTATCGCTGCAGACAGGAAATTGCTGTGCAGAAACCACACGTTTCACTTTTAATAAGTTTGGCAATAAAATGTCTTGTCAAATGAGGCCACGACAGGGCGATAATGAAGCTTCTGCGTGGCCCATAATTGCTTACTGCTCTCCTGGGGGTGAGCCAGAAAATGGGGAGCAAGTCAGGAGCTGCATGGCAGCATCATCCGCCCTCACCTCCTGCTTTGGGAGCATTCCTCATCCCAGCAGCATCACTGTAGCTCCAGCATCTGCTAGGATGTGGTTGAGGAGGTCTGTCCATGTTGAAGGCATACAGACAATTCTTACAGAGTGGCAGAGGGAGGCTGCTAGTGCTCCAAGGTCTGTCTTCCAAGCAGGACTTTTCAGCACCTTTTCAGTCCTAGAGGCTGGGCAGGTGCTGCTTCACCCAGTCCATCCCAGTCGTTAGCCAGGAGGGGTATGGTTTCCTGGAGGTTTTGCACGAGTTGGTCCAAGATGAGGAATTCAAAGAGCAGATACAGCTGAAGGATAAAGGGCACACAGCAGGAAAGAGGAGAGCACTCACTGACCGAGACCCTGTGGAGTCTCCTTATTTCTTCACAAAGGTCCCAGCTGAGTGACCTGCAGAAACCCTTGGCTTCCACAGGCAGTGTTAAACATCCACGGACTTTGTGCCTTCCTGCCCTTCATGTTTAAGGTGGTAGAGCACTAGTCTGAAATATGTTCCCAGTCCTAGCTCAGCTCTGCTGAGCAGAGAAGCCAAGCACTGGGCAAGCATCGGAGGATGGATCACTTTGCTCTCTTCAGAGGGGATTGAGGCAAGGCAAATGAGACGTCCTGGGGGGTGCCCTGTGCAATGGAGCAAGAGGGCTGCAGTGCTCTCAGACCCCTCGTGGCAAAGACCAGGGAGCAAAGCTGGGTCCTTGCTGCCTCCTCAGAGTTAACTTACCCCAGAGCTCCTCATTCCCACCAGTCATCCCCCATGGCAGGGAGGGGACAGAGAGGCCCAGGGGGACATGGGTGCAACCAGTCCTGCAAAGATGGACACCAAGCTCCAGCTTCATGGTAATAGGAGACAAAATGAGCTCTGCCCAGGCTGGGACCAGG